AAAGGAGTGGCTCTTATTCCTATATTTTTGTGAGAATATTGGATTTCTGTAAGAGGAGGATATTTAGATTCAATTTCTCCTTTATTGGTTTGCCATTTTGTTGTATGATTTAAAGTGTTTAATTGGGGTTGCTCATATTGTTCAAACCATTCAAAGAAATCTATTAATATTTTATGTTTTTCCATGAATTGATAATAATTTTGTAGTATTTGATCTTTTTGTGAATCATATGTCTTGAAATAATGTTTTCTTTTCTGTTTATTCTTTTCGGAACTAAACTGTTTTCTACACCAATCTTTGTTGATTTCAAAATCTTTTTCTAAAACAAATATTTCTGAATCATTTTCTTGAGTAATATTGGGATTATTGGTCATTGATGAATATGTGGGAGACATATTTGGGCTGTTTGAAGGTGTGATTTCTTGTCTGTTATAAACAGGTTGGGGTATATTTGGAGAATTATTTACAGATTGGAGATTTGTCCTAACTGTGGGGAGTGAGGATACAGAGGCTCTAGCCGTTCTGAAGTCTGTTTCTATGTTTGAAACTGACTCTATATTGAAAGATCTTCTAGATGGAACTCTTTGTGGCCTATTGAAGACTAGTTCTACCGAACCATCTCTGAATTGTTGTATTTGATTTATTTCTATATTTTGTATAGGAACAGGACTTATCACTCCCTCTATTTTCCATTTATTTGGAAGTTGTACTTCATGCCATTGTATGGTTTTAGGTATGGCAGTATGGGATCTGGTCACATCTGTCTGGATTAATAAAGTTTCTCCTTTTGGGCTATGGATTAAAGCTTTAGTGTTGATTACAGAATACATTGCTTTATAATATAATCTGTAGACAACGGTTAAAGGTTCAGATCCAGGTAGCATTTTGTAATTATGAGTTTGTATTTGAAGTGTTAATGAATTTAATATATTTCTGTCATTTAATGAAACCATGAAGTTTGGAAAGCAATTGAAATGTATTGGTCCTCGACATAGACTTGTTTCTATGGTTCCTAGAAGTGAATCATTAAACTGGAGATGTCTTTTATCTCGTAGGACAATTAATATTGAGGTATCTAACCCTTCTTTAGTTAATGGTTTTGCTCCTACTTGAATTAAACCATAATGAATGTAATTATAGTTTTGATTTTTTAACTTAGTTATTGTTTCTTGATCTAAGAGAGGTATATTTTGAAATTGGTTTTGTATTGGAATACTTTTCTCTTTTGTTTTTATGAGATATCCACAGAAAGAATTTAGATGTAAAGAATGGAATGTTGATGTTTTGTAAATTTGGTTTTGAGGGACTCTAGGAATCTCCCAATCATCCATTTCTTGAATTATATTTTCATAATGAATATTTTCTTCATTGATTTTTGGGTTTTGAATACTAGAACCAGAACCGGAGCAAGAGGTGTTTCTTAGAAACGGAAACATTTTGGAGATTTATTTTCTTTTCTTACATAAGGGGCTTCTAAGACGCAGATGAACTGTGAGGATACTGCCTACAGGGAGAAATATATCCTAACAACGCCAACCTAAGGCTTCCAACGGATTGTTTCTCAAGGACTCAGCAGGAATCAACACAATATTCATGCAATGCCTTTAAAACCAGAACTCAGATAAGAAAATAAAATCCAAAAGTTTTGCTTAGAAGTAAATACCTCTTGAACCGGAGAGGCTCTGATACCAAAATCTACCAAAATCTAGGGTATATGCCCATACTCGCCATAGTGAACCTTAGGCTTTGTTGGTATAAGCAACCCCTCTTTAAAGTTTTTCTATTTGACATTCATGTGAATCACAATTAGAAGTTGGACAATTAGACAAATTGTGGTTTATGACAACTTTTACTTTTTGAATTGAAAATTTTAATACCCAGGATTTATTGGGATTTTGATTTTTTACATCCAATATTTAAAGGTATAAAAATATCCTTCCCCCTAATCAAGGCTTTATATATTAAACAATGAAAAATTAACCTTGCTAATGGGAAAAGCTTTTAATTAATTCTCATTGCGAATTGTAATCTTGATTGCATAGCGTTTCCCAACTTCTGTGCTATATAGAGCTCTCAAATCAAATATTCTTAGTGATCACAAGGTCCATTAATTTATCTGAATTTGACATTGAGATAGTTTAAGAGAAAGGCAGATGGCTTCTGATGGTGTGAGTAGGAGATGTTAGACTTTCAAAATAACACCCATGATGATCATCTTATTTGGATTGACTATCAAAGGATAAGGGTTACCTTTTAATCTTAGTAAATTTCAGTTATCAAGATTATCTAATTTTAGAATTATTCGGTAAAAAGTTATCGAGGTTATTTTATAAGAATTCTCAAGTTATATATAAAGTGAAAAATAGGCTTAGTTGTTCCACTGTATTATACACAACAACAATTCATTAAGAGTGATAACAAATTTACTTAAGTAGGAGACTCTCTTCCCTCTAAGAGAAAAACCTCTCCAAAGGAATTTTGTATTAACCTTAAAAAAATAAAAGATTGGTATGTATTTATATATAATATAAGTTTTTTTCACAATTTTTATAAATAGATAGTTTGTTTCCTTACATTTGATAATCCCTTTCCTAAAACTTTATGCCATTTGAAAAATGAATATTTAATTTGAAACAAGGGGAGTAGTATTTACTCTTGTACTCAGACACACTTGTTGCTCTTTTTACTTTTAAGAAAAGTTAAATTCCAACAATACCAAACTTAACTTATATTAAAAATGGATGATCGTAAGATAGGCAAGAGATAATATCTTATCATGGTAACCATTTAACAAATAATTACTCAATTTTTTTCTAATAATGCAATAATTGCACAATTAATAAATCCAGCCTTAGCTTTCCCATCATCCACAGAGCTGTCATCAAACACTCCGGTAATGCATCACTTTGACACGATTAGCAATTAGTTACAGTAATTGAAGAGAATTGAAAGGAACATATCTCTCCTGCCAAACGAACAGCACTTTCAGAAATTATTGAAACTATTAAGGCTGGCCAGTGGTTCCTTGTTTGCTCTTTTGTTGAACATAAGAGCTGCATTTTTGGGTGCTCAGGCCATTGAGAAAAACATGGAAAGATCCTCCCTTCAAATTTCAATATTAGATCGTATAAGAGCACTTTGTTCACCATAGAACAGAAGCCCCTGAGAAGCTCCGTAAACCTGTCAGCTTTTTCTGCTGTCCCAAGCTTACAAAAGACAATGGTAATTGTCGAGGATTAGAATCTGGCTCTCTTAAAACAGTAAAACTCATAGGAAGCAAGAAATGAAGCCCTCCTTTTTTATCATAGTCGAAACTCCTTGTATGTCTGTTGTGTACTTTGCAAGTTAACATCAGAGTCCCCTCATGGAAGAACTAGAACAACAAATTTGGCCTATTCGAAAGCACCGAAGCAAGCTTTTAGTAACACAAGGACCTTGGAATGTGATGCCAAGCATAGCCACCTAGATTGTGTTACATTGATTCCACGAGAATCCCAAAAAGAACTCAACCCTTTTTCTAACTTTGTCTGCGATCTATCCTTGAATGTATCAGGCATTAAATTGTTCGCACCTGAGCCGCCTCACATCAACAAAGAGAGACAAAGCAGGGTTTCTTTGTAATGAAAATTACTATAACAAAGCTCCTAAATTTTGTCCTCTGGAAGGAACTGTCTTCGACAGGTCCGCCAACTAATTGACTATAAAAATTTTCAATGGCAGTTCCTCTGTTCCAAACTTTCCAGACCTAGACTAGAGAAAGCAATGGCTACTTTCTCTTGTCCAATCTCCTTCCCCTTCAGATGTTCTTTAAATGGTAATCATAACCATAACCACAGAGTCGATATCAAAATCAATGGAACTCAGACAGGGCCCATTAAGCTCGACACATTGACTGAAATTGCCGCTGTTGTAAAAGCTGATTCCACTCCTCTTGCTACTGTCCACGAAAACGGGTGCATATGCCAAGAGAAGATTCGGCAGAGGATTCCAACGCAGAAGCAGCTGGTTGATCCTTACCGTCAAGGGCTCATCATTGAAAGGGGAGTTGGCTATAAACAGACTGTTGTCATCCGCTCCTATGAAGTTGGCCCTGATAAAACGGCTACCCTGGAGAGCCTCCTTAATCTTTTCCAGGTGATAAAGCTTAAATTCCTCAAACAAGGGGCTTTGGCCATGATAAAGCTTGGGAATAATTAGTTTATTATATGCATATATATAACTTGTAATGTTCATGCGTATGTATGTAGGAAACGGCACTAAATCATGTTTGGATGTCCGGACTTCTAAGCAATGGATTTGGAGCCACACATGGAATGATGAGGAACAATCTCATATGGGTCGTCTCAAGAATGCACGTCCAAGTGCATCACTATCCCATATGGTCAGCCCTCTCATCATAAAACACGGAACTCAAGGGTTTCTGATTCAAACTACACATGAATTTAAACCACGTTTGACACCCAAATAACCATCTAAACTAATTACGAAGCCTACTGTATTTTGCACCTTTACATAAGGAGCTAAGCACAAATAGTCCACTTGTCGCAGGGGAGAGGTAGTGGAAATCGACACATGGGTTGGTGCATCAGGGAAGAATGGGATGAGGCGAGACTGGCTAATTCGGAGTCAAGCCACCGGCATCACTTACGCACGTGCAACCAGGTGTGCATGGAATCTGTTTATTAGAACATCAAACCAAAAACAAAAAACAGTACATTCCCAGTTTTATCAATACAACAATCATGCTTTCCCTTCATGAAACAGCACTTGGGTAATGATGAACGAGCAAACAAGGCGCCTCTCAAAGATGCCGGAGGAAGTGAGGGATGAAATCTCTCCTTGGTTTATTGAGAAGCAAGCAGTCAAAGAAGATGCTCCCGAGAAAATTGTCAAGTTGGACGACAAAGCAAAATATGTGAACTCTGACTTGAAGGTAATATTTTCAATGATGCTTCAACAACAGCTAGCTAATGGAATGCCTGAAAGAGCAGTCACTAACTATTCTGCTTTCTACCTTAATCATAGCCAAAGAGGAGTGATTTGGACATGAACCACCATGTAAACAATGTCAAGTATGTACGATGGATGCTTGAGGTAAAAGACACAGAATTACCATCAATCTATATAAACTGAACTCTCTCAACTCCAATGTCAGTCTTAAATCATGACTTTCTTTCATTTTGTTGCAGACAATTCCTGACAAATTTTTGGAGTCTCACGAGCTATCTAGTATCGTACTAGAATATAGAAGGGAATGTGGAAGTTCAGATAAAGTTCAATCACTTTGCCAACCAGATGAAGATGGAATTTTTGCAAGTGGTCTGGAACGAAGTCTACTTGAAAATATAGTTTTGGCATCAGGAATCTTGCAAGGAAATGGACACCTAGGCTCCCTGGATATGAAGACATACGGATATACTCATCTCCTCCAAATCAACGGGGAGAGTCAAAATGAAGAGATAGTCAGAGGGAGGACCAGATGGAAGGAAAAGCAATCTACAATGCCGTATTCCACTTAGTAACTAGTGCTTGGTAAGCACGACGGATATTTAGCGAGCTGATCTTCTTAGAACATCATTGAAAACAACCAGGTTCTGACATTAAAGATGCCATGAAGGAAATAATTAAGTAAAAGGCGTAAGGCGGGATGTTTGATTGTGTGGTCCAGTGATCATGGGATTGGAAATCTGAATGGAGATCTTAATAACGTGCCAGGACACTGGCATGGTGCTGCGGTGATGGAAAAGTGAGGTCCTGGAAGGAGTCAAGCCCTGGAAAGGTGTCAGAACAGAACAAGGGTCCTCCATATCTTGAATGAAATAAGTGGCGTTAGTAATGGTGTGGTGATAAATGTAAAAAGAGCTCCAAAAAAAGGCTAGAGTTACTAAAAATCAGGTACTTAATGGGCTGAAGTGGTTACACAGTCTGCCGATATGCATTCAATGGAATCGAGGAATTCAACCAAAGGATGTTATCAATTATCTAGTAAAAAGTTCAAAAGAATTCAATTGTACCAGAACTAGACTGCTCCAACCTCAGAATCATACTGATTAATGAAAAATCATTGCGTAAAATACCCAGCCCACCTAATAACGAGTTCAAGGATTGTTCTAACATTGGTGTTCAACTAATACCAAGCCAAGCTATCTACAAATAAACAGCCTGAAATTGAGCATTCTATAAGAGCAGCAGCCGCAGCTCAAGGTGTAAACCAGGACTGCATAACTTAAGCTAAATCCTTTAATGACCAGGCCACAATATCCCATTGCAAACTTGGAAAATTCACCTGATATAAAAAGATTTCTTTTATTTTTTTTTCTTAAGAGTGAAGTGGCAGCCAAATACAATCAAATAAATTGCATCTGAAAAATGAGACACAGCAATGAAAGCTCCTAAATCTAAAACAGTTCATACTGACAAGTTCGGAAAATTTTGCCACATTGGCAACTGGTGGCAAACTGTGAACTTGCGAGCTTGACATTAGAAGCATTTCTCACTACCTAAGAACAAAGAATAAATATCTTGGACTTGAATCTGTGATCCACTATCCTAAGAATAAGCATTTACAATTTATGAAGGGATAAGTATTTACAGCCATTGACAGATACCCACATCGATAGTAAGTAAACAAAGAATATTGTACCGAATTGCCAAAATTATCGTCTCTTTTTGCTGTAACTCTGATGCAGTTTCCAAGACCAAATGAGAAGGAATAAAACAAGAGCCACTCCAACAGACAACCAGAAAATTACAAACCATTTTGGCATTGGCTTAGGATATAAACCTGATGGTGTGGAAACCAAAAATAGAAGAGGTTAATGCAATTGCAAACTGGAAAAAAAAATTGACTGGAATACCCATTCCCATTAGCGTAGAAACATAGCAACTAGGATAAATCAAATCAACTCTCTTTAACAATTGTATAGTTTGGAACATACCGTGTCCAAACTTGATGCAAATAAGAAGCTCAACGATGCAAATTGCAAGGGAAAGCCAACAAAAAGCTCCAACCTTTTTCACTGGTTTTCTGAAAAAGAAAACAATAGTGTTTAAGTGAAACAAGAAACTATTCATTGGTTATAAACATTTTTCTGGCAGTATATATATTTGCATCCAAACAAATGGAGAGAGAGAGAATACCGGTCTTGAAGGTATGAGTTATACTCACGAATTGTTGGTATTGCTATTAGCCACCACAAGATCAACCTATACACAATCACAGGGTTTCGGGGAGGAATCCAGAGACAAAACTTTAGAAAGAATGTATTGAGTTCTACTGTCAAGAAAACAATGCAAAGGCTGAGAACTTGAATGAAACGCCATGGACCAAGCAGGGGGTGCCATTCATCTTTGTCCCACTGTGCTGGTGTAAATTGACCTAATGTCCGTTTAAACTGACAACAGCAAAGAGCAATGAGCATCACATGACTTGAACTCTTAACTACATTGGTTTGGTGAACCTTCAAAAGCTCTAAAAAAAGCCAAATAAAAGGTCAAGCCCAAGGCTACATTTCATAGCCAAATGAAAAATATGAGAAACAGGAAGTCAAATAAATAGAAACCATATATAAAAAAAAAGGGCAATATTTCCACTTCCAAACAAACTAAGGTTTAAATATTGCAGGAGTTCCATTTATAAAAGTTCCAAGGATTTTGAACAGAAATGGGCTTCGTTAATCACACAGCATAAGCCATGATGTCAAAAAAAAAAGGGAGGGAACTTGCATTATTCTTTAGATAGGTCAAAGATGATATAGTGGCCATAGTTCAGAGCTATAATGCTTATGTAACGAATAAAATGGGAAAAAAGTAATTACACAACAAGAAACATACTTTGCCAATGATGTTCGGCTGGCGACTTATACCAACCCACTCATAAGTTCTCCCATCAAAGTACCTAACAGTATGCATTCCAGCCCAAATACCTACAAGCAAACCAAATATGTTGTCAAAATAGGGTGAAAAAAAAATCCTTAAACTCTTTATTTCCAGACCAGAAACTAGTAACAAAATAATAGTGAAGTCTATATTCATGATAAAAGCTCAGACTAAGTAACTGAGATCACAATAATATAATTGATAATCTATACAAGGAAAAACTGCTATTCCAATTTAGATTGCACATTTTGAGACACTTAAGCAAACTAGGGTAAAAACAGTAAACTGACAGAAGACTACACTCATATATAGGGGTAAAAAAGGGATTCCAAACCCACATCTATGTTATTATATATGGGGAGTAACTGAGTTCAGCATCACAAGTGACACCAACTCAGTTATAAAAGTTACATAAAAATCTAACAAAACAGTATAATATTAAACTATGATTAAATAAGTCATTTGAGATCCTAAATATTATGATTGTGGTCCATTTATTTTTTTCGTTTCCCGTGTACTTCAAACTATTTTTTAACTTTAAA